TAGCAAGAGCATTAATATACTTTAAGCCGTCGCGGAGTCCGGTAAGCCGCTTATCCTACGCGTACTTATTAACAATACGGGCTATAGCAATCTTATACTATAGGGTTAGAAACAATGAATTAATAGATTGCTAAGTCCCGCTATCGTAATTAGGTCGCCTCGATAGGCTATTAGTAGGGTTGCTTACGCCTAGCCGATGTAATATATTAAAATCGAACCTAGCGAGGTAGACGGCCTATCTAGCCTATCGACCTATAACCCTAGTAACCTTCGTAATTCTACGGAGGTTGTTATAGTCCGTATAGACCTAAATAGTATGCTATACACTATCGAGATAGTGCCTCCAATACTTAAAGGCCTCGATAATAGCTAGGAGCTCTTACTCGTATATCTCGTAGCGACGTTCTATATCGATTATCTTCCGTAAAAAGAAGGCAATCGGGTACTAATAGGTATTATTAGCCTACTGTAACATAATAGCTAATATAGCGAACTATAAAGCGTTAGTTTCAATTCGGATCTGCTTACTTAGTACGAAATAGTGCAATAAGGGGACATTAGTAAAGCGTTGCTTTAGGCCGTCAAAAGCGGCTTATACTCTATTAGTCTATTTAAACTCTCTAGTTAGGTTAGCCTTGGTTTTAGTAAGCTTAGTTAGTAGCATTACGTACCGCGAGTAACCTTCGATAAATCGACGGTAGAAGTTAGCAAAACCTAGGAATAATTAAAGCTCTTTAATGCTAGTAGGTATTAGCTATTTAGTAATAGTCTTAATTCGATTAGGATTAGCCTTAACACCCTTAGTTAATACGAAGAAGCTAAGGAAGGACATCTCCTTAGCAGCAAAGGTACATTTAGAAGGCTTGCAATATAGGCTATAGGCCCGTAGGCGGTCGAGGACCTTTCGTACTATAGCCTAGTGTTCTATAATATTAGGTAAGTGCGTGTAAACTAGGATGTTATCTAGGTAAACTATACAGAGGTAATCTAATAGGCCTAATAGGGCCCGATTGATATAGGACTAGAATATTGCAGGGGCGTTTGCTAGCCTAAATAGTATAACTAGATACTCGAAATAGCTATAGCGGGTACGGAAGGCTGTTTTCTATTTATTACCCTTACGGATGCGGATGCGATAGTATATATCCTTAATGTCTAATATAGTATAGTAGTAAGCACTAGAAAGGCGATCGAGGGTCTTATTAATAAGAGGAAGTAGATAGCGATCTTTAATAGTAATAGCATTAAGCCTACGATAATCGACATAGAGGCGTAGGCTACTATCCTTCTTTAGTACGAACAGGATAGGGGCACTAGTAGGGCTGTTACTATACCGTATCTAGCTATTAGCTAGGTTTTCCTCTAGGTACTTACGCAATATAGCAAGCTCTCGTTTACTAAGGTTATAGAGGGGTCCAAAAGGGACCTCTTTGCCCTCTATAATATTAATCTTATAATCCGTCTCTTTGAATATAGGCAATGTCGATACTAAGTGGTGTTTAAACACATTAATATAGGTCTCTCGAATAGGTTCTAGTATACGCTCAAGCTGTTTAGGATCTATGCTATTAGGGGGCACTAGTTCATCGTCGTTACTACCGAGCAGGTCGGCAGTTAGATTAGCTAAGGCGGGAGTCAGGTTGCTAATAAACAGGACCCTAATATTATTAGGACACTCGCTAATATCGATGTGTTTAATATCCTCTTTCCTAGCGATCCTAAATCGCTATTGTTAACTGCCCAAGTCTATAACTATAGCATAGTACTTAAGAATAGGGTTGCTAATAATAATGTCGGATAGGAGGCTGTCTATATCTACCGCGTAGGCAGTAAAGTTTAGTAGGCGTTTATTTCCGAGGTCGTCCTTTAGAGCTATATAGATATAGTAGGCTCCGTAGGTCAAGTGCCGAGCGTTATTAAACTAAGCAAGGGTTGGCAGGTCAGTCCTAGGCAGTTATCGAAGGTCTAATTGCTTAGCTAGGCGATAGCTAATAAGGGCACTAACTGAATTTCCTAGATCTAGTATAACCTTAGTCTTATAGTTGGTTCTATATATATCCGATACGAGATAGGTACGTATAATAGCTAGCACAATGTCGATAGTCTTACGCCGTACAAGGCTAACAGTTAGTACGGCGCTTACTCTTTTTTCGAAGGACCGACAGGGGTAGCATTAGCGGCTAAAAGGTGCTTACGGTGCTTAGCGGTAGCACGGTCGATTCGGGCCTAATCCTTAGGTTTGTCGTATTAGCCTAGTAGATAGCTAGTGCTATTATAGTTGAAGCACTTTAACCCGGTTAGTAGACTGCCGTAGCTATTGTTATTATTAGCAGAGCGGTTAGTATTATAGGGATACGAGCCCCTTCTATAGCCCCTATCGCGGCCTCCTCTATATAGCCGTCGGCTACGGCCTCTTCTACGGTCGTTACTGTTCCTATTGTTAGCATTGTTATTATAGTAGGAACCTTGGTTTCCTCCGCGGCTACTACGATTGCCGCGGTTAGTGCTAGCTAGTCGGATCCTCGATTCTAGTCGTTATTAGAGCTAAATAGCCCGTTCGGCTATTTCCACTTCGACTATAAATTGAATGCGCGTTAGATTAGCCTATTCGAATATACGACGGCGGTCCAATTTAAGGATAAGCTCCTACCTAAGTTTTAGGCGTATCTTAGAGATCTATATAGAATTAGTCTTAGCCGGGAGATCGTCCTCGAGGGTCTTTAAATAGGCCTTAAATAAACGAGCCGATTAATTAGTCTTTTGTTTAGCTCGAAGGTACTAATCCTAAGCATATTGTTGCCTTAGTATAGGGTTTCTAAGGGTGTCTAGCATAATAGTCTTATAGGTCTGCTACTAAATAGCGGTCTAATTAGTAAGGGAGTCGAAATAGTTATCCTAGGTGCGTTTTAGGTCTCTATTAATATATTGCATAGTATAGACGACTAGTAAGTAGTTATCTAGAAGGGCCCTTAGTACGTTTCGCTAGTTAAGCTTACAATTACGTATATAATCGTTATATTGCTTTCGACTAGAGCCGTTAAACACGGTATAGTCCTTAAGTTTAGTATCCTTCTTTTAAGTAGGGACGGGTAGAGGAGGACTTGTTGTCGTTAGCTTAGCATTAGTTGTTAGGGCTTCCTATAGGCGGCGAATCTTAAGGAGATTATCCTTTAGCTATTGTTCTTAACGTAGGGCAGTAAGCCTGTTTTAGGTAGCTTCTTAAAGTCTCGCTACTAGCTAGGGCCTAAAGGCTAGTTAGCTATATCGACGGTTAATAATATTGTTAAGAATGTCGTCGACAGGCAATTCTAGGTCGTTACCTAGAATTACAGGTTCTTCTTTAATAGGCTCTCCGGTAGGAGGCACTTTAGTAGGTGCTCTAGTAGGCACTTTAGTAGGCACTTTAGTAGGTGCTTTAGTAGGCACTTTAGGCACTGTGCTACTAGCGTTGTTATTACTAGCGCTGCTAGCGGCAGTACGGTTGTTGTTTCGTAACGAGCCGGCTATTGTAATAGGGGGTAATACTAATAATATATTATTAGCCCCTAAGATGCGGATATAGCGGAATTAGTAGGTATTAGTCTAGTACGATTAACTTAGTATAATAGGCCGTATAGAAGGCCTTACTTAATGATTGGTACGGTTGTTTCGATAGAATAGTACGTATAGGTCCCGTTCTTCGGGCGCAATATAGTTAGATTAGTCTTGTTCGTAGCTATACCGCTAAAAGCTTAAAATAAAAACTATCTAGCTGCTACCCTTAAAGGGTGGATCGAATACTATATAAGAAGGGTATATTAGCAGGTAGATAGGGTGGTAGTAGGTACAAGTAGTATTCGATAAGAAGCTAGGAGAAGAGGGAGGAAGGTAGGAGAGTTAGCCTAACGCTAAGCGCTAAGCCCTGCCTAAGGCACTAAGACCCTAGCTTCACTCGGCCTAGTTATATGCTAATTACGTATAACCTCTTTAGCCCTAACACCAAATAACTAGTCTAGTTTAACTAAGAATAGAAGCGGCTTCTTTAGGAATTTCTTCGCCCTTAGATAGATAGCAATATAAGCCTTTATAATATCGTCCGGAGCGGTTAGACAACTAGTGTTTAGATTAATACCGAAGCTAGATTAAGCTAGCATCTTATGCTATATCTTCTAGTCTGCTTTAAGGGCAGTAAGCTTGTTCTTTATAGACGTAGCTATAATACGAGCCTTCCGCTAGGCCTATATAACGATAAGGTTTACTACTATTACTACCGCTATAAACAGTCCCTTCTTAAAGCTAGAATCGGCCCTCTCGCTATAGTTCTTACACCTGTCGATAGCGCTAGTTATAAGGCACTATGTCTTAGCATTATTAAACCGCTAGTTGCCTTCTACTTTAACCTTAATAACTAGCGGTAGATTAAGGGCCGCCGCGAGCTTATCGAGTGTCTCTAGGTCCTATTATATGTCCGGCAATTGCGAATAATTAGGCGGTAGTTCTAGCTAAGAGTACTAAGACTAGTCGATTACTTAAGATTCTATGCTTTACTAACAAATTTGCTAGGCAATCGATAGTCTACGAGCGACTAGACCTATAGCTATCTCTTATATCGAACTACTAGCGACGAACGAGCCGTTATAATCGCTACCTTCTACCTCATTTTATACCTAAAGCTACTACCTAAAGTCTACGAAGGTTACGAGACTGCGCTAAGAACGCTTTTACCGAGATTGCGACGATACGATAACTATATTAGAAGACACACCTCGTTATCCAATTCACTTATTGTAGCGGCCGCTAATGCAGAAGGTTATATGCTAATAAGCGCCACAATATTGAAGATTGGATTATAGACACGACAGGCTCCAAATTCGGAAGACTATCGACCGTTGCGAAACTCTCGCACTCTGCATTCGCCCAAGCGCAAGCCACTACAGCTCACCCGGGTAAGGTCTGAAACGTCGCATATGAGTCTCGAAGCCTTCTCATCTCCCCCGAACTCCTCATCACACTCAGAACTCGGCAAAATGGGCTTGGTCGACAGCGCAAAGGAGGTCGCCACGACTCCGTAGCCTTTGGCGTGCATCGTCGTCCTTGTCGAGATGCAACACAACTCGTTTTGTTCACTGTTTCTGTTTCCTTGATTCTGTCGCTCTTTTCCCAGTGAAGGAGGCCCTTCACCCAATGTCTGGCACATCTTTCTGGTACTTTTCCTGTTTCTACCGGTGCCACCAACGGCCATGTCACTCGCTTACAGCTTCCGCCGTGCTCTGGCAGTAGCTATCTTCACAGTACCGCTGCTTCATGCCCAACAGTGTTTCTATCCGGATGGAACGCTTTCCTCAGACACGCCTTGTATTACAGGTTCCGATTCATCATGCTGCGCTGCGAGCTCATTCTGCTTGGACAATGGGCTGTGTTTTGGAAGTGGTATCGTGAGCAGGGGGAGCTGCACAGATAAGACATGGCAGAGTGGAGCATGTGCTTCGTACTGCACAACAAGTACGCCTAGCATGTCTCCTAGCAAGTGAGGAGGAAACTGACCAGCAAGCAGAATCACCGGGCTCGAGCATACCGCTCACACCATGTGCAACAACGGATGGCGCGAGCACTTTCGTGTGTGGTCTCGACGGCACAGCGTGTAAGAAAGACTCGAACACTTTTCCCATGGCAGGAGGAGCGTCTTTTGTACTGCGAGAGGCACAGGTTGCGGCTATGGTTGCGCCAGTGCTGGCAAGCATGTCTGCTTCAGCCTCTGCTTCGCCCAACTCCTCAGCATGTGCGAGCGGATCACTTTATACCGGAGGACAAATGGCAGGCCTCGGAATTGGTCTGGCTATACCACTTCTGATTGCCGCATGTGCTGCCATTTTCTTATGGCAGAAGGAACGAGCAAGGACACCGAAATTGATGTACCAGCTCCCGGACGATGACTTCAAGTCACCGCCGCCTCCACGACCTGCGGTGCATTTCATTCCAGCATCTCGAGACAATAGCGACGCATGCAGCTTCCGAACTGTCACGCCCGAGATCGTGCAAATATCCGGACGAACAACTCCGCAGCACAAACCAGATCACCTGCAATCATTCCAAGAAAGATACCATGCCATGAACAAGAGTCTGATCGGCATCTCCGTCCAAGAGCTTGACGGACAGCCAGTGGGCTCGGCATTCAATTCTAGACAACAGCAACAGCCTATTGCACTACACAACAGACCGCCGAATGCCACAAGACCGCAGAGGCCACGATGATCAGATGGACAGATGCTGCCGTGTACGCGAATTACGTGAATGATAGCTTAGCGAGGCGTTATGGTTTTGGCTGTCTTCGAGAACGCTCACTAACAACATATCGCAACTATAGCCAGATAACGATAATCCAGCACAGTGTCATGCTTTTCCGTCACCACGAACGTCGTCACAGCGACTCAATCTACCCCGGAAGAGCCGGCATACACATCCTTGTTTATTCTATCTAAACTCTAACTTTAGCCTTAGCCAGGATACACAGCCAGGGAATGGTGGCCAGACTAAGTTGTGGGCAAGTAAAAAGACGATCTCTATAAATAAGACACGACGACATCTGGTCTTATTTTAACGCGTTCGAGATCTTGCATCACATTGGCGGCACTCGAGCTCTTCGTATTCCGGCAATCGCGTGCAGAATTGGGACAAGCCTTTGCACAAGCATCGATGATGGCTGGCGGTGCTTGCTTGTTTCGACCTCAGACGTACCGGGAATGTGCACAAGGGAAGGCAGGCATGGTGTGAAGAATGCGAGGCAGCTGCCACCCGACGAAATAGTGACGCCTTCCCTACTTCTGTGCCACCGACCACGTCCACGTCCACTGCCTTTCGCCCAACTCCACAAAGAACCATTCCATTTCAACTCAGAGTGGTAGAAATACAGTGCGAGACTTCGACAACGACGGCCACAGTCCCAGCGACTTTCCGAGCCATCTTCTCTGCGTGTCCTGCATCAAGATCCACAGCACCATCACCACGATGAAGGTCTTCGGTATGATTCTTGCCGGCCTCACGTCGTTGGGCACAGCGAGCATAGGAAGGCGGGCCGACGACTCGCCTGACGCACCACAAACTCCTCCACCAGCACAGCCATACACTTCTACACCAATACCGTGCCCTACGACTTTGACAGTGCCTCCGATCGGAGACTGCTCAGGCTGCACCAGAACCATCTATAACTATACCGCTACCAAGAGTGTTGATTGTCATGGCTGCGAGTCCTTGGTCACGAGCACAAGCTATATACCTTGGCTTGGATTGTGTCCGGCAAGTATGCTTCACCAAGGCAAGTGGCGATGCTGACTGAAGTGGCAGGTATGCGTGGGTGGTGTTCAAACGGTCTTCAACACGACTGGTACTTCGACGGTGACTTCTTGCTCAGCCACACCGGGACCGAGCACTACTTCGACGGTGCCTCCTTGCGAAGCTACACCAGCACCGAACGAGAAGTGAAAGACCTTTGTCGCGGCTCTAGACAACGGGAATTCAGCACAATGGCGAAGCACATCAATGTCGCCAGACACCTGGCTTGCTTGCTTGCTCCCAGCAAACATTACATCTCACAAACATGCACATGGCATTGTCAAGGTGACACATTACTTCTTCACGATCTCATCTCATCTGCACCACGTTTCTCGCACTTTTGCTTGAGTTTGGGAAATTGCACCCTCTCCTCAACCAAATCCTATCAAGTATGTGCTACTACTCCCAGATCGTCTACGCATGCCAACATCTCGAAGCAGCAACATTGATTCAAGAACACGATCCAAAATGCAGAAACCCTGCCACCCAATTCTTCCCCATCGACATTATATGCTACCATTGTTTCACAGGAATCGAGCCTTTCGTTCCCGGACAGCCAACGCGGAGAGGCAGGAGAGGCAGGAGAAGAAATCGTGGCGGCCGTGAAGATCGATCGATTGGCGAGCGACGTCGTGAATGAAGTGAGGAAGTTACACAAATACAAACTCTGCTCTCCCGGCACGAGCAAACTCCCAAACCAAGTCAAGGATCGTTCATCATGTGTTACATCCACCAACTCATCTACCGTTGCGGCCATCGCGACGCTCCGATCCACGTACAGGAGTGTGTTTGGACTTGCAGAAGGCCTAGGATCTGTCAGTTGAGGGTTAGGAGGAAGTGTGAGGGTTGTACTGCTGAGATTGAGGAGGATCGTGATGTTCTTGGGGTGGAAAATGCGACGCAGCAGGATCTTGAAGATGAGATTTTGGAATTGTTGAATAATGTGAGAAGGGGGAGGATGGGACCGCGGGGGAGGGTGTTGCATTGATGTAGTCGGAGGAGGGGATAGTGCGACTTTTGGATGTACTTGTTCTTAATCGCCTACTGCGAAACTATACATATAGTGCTTGTTTATCTTTTCCAAGTGCGGCTCGACGTGGCTCACAGAGGCAGGTGTCGACAAAGAAGATTCCGATGGCGATGGCATTGGTGACTTGGACAAAATCGCGTATTCAGGGCGCAACTTTGCGGACGCGAACGACTGCAGCCGTGGTTCCACGCCATTTGCAGACAGAAGTCATATTTTGGTGATTGGTAGTCACGTCGTCCTTCGTTATTGGCGATCTTGAGTTGCTTGATACCGCCAGTGTTGCAACGGCGAATTCCAGAACATTGTGTGGAGGTCTCCAGTCTGGAGGCAGTACTCGAGGCAGTGCTCTCATTTGTTGTCTTTCCTGGTATTGCCACGCTTACCCTAATGCACGGTAATCGAAAGGCCGCCAGTAAGCGTTAACAGAACAGCCTCGTGTATACCAGCGATTTGGAGCAATCCACGAAAGCCATGGATCTCGCACGCACGCAGACAAGATCACCAAAGTCCCACAAAGATCTAAAGCCCTCTAAGATTTGCACCGAGCCATGCATGTGATTTGCTTGTCCAGTTTGCTCTCCACAAACATAAACCCCACCCCCCATCAAACCCACCCAACAAGTCCATCGTCGTCCTACCGAGCCTTCCAGCGCAGGGAACCTCCGTTCATGAACCCTGCCCCCGAAATTCCTCCATGTGCACCCAAGAACTAATTTGGTGCTCCTGTGGCCACGGCGAGCTTCTTCCCATTCGCGCCTGTCCGCGCGGGAGGATGCTGTCATACTGCTACACCATAGTGCATGGCAGTCACAAATTGGTCGTTCCGAGCGAATGCTCGTATTGCAAGTCGGGACTCAATCGAAGGAAGCAATTACCAGCCGCCAGGCCGCCACCGGATATTGCAGCTAAGGTCGAAGGGAATGCGAAAGTGGAGGATAATCAGAAGGATGTGTTTGAGAAGATGGTAGTCGATCCGGAGTACTGGCCTGATGATGGAGCGTTTCCCACGGCTGAGAACGCTTTTGAGTTGGTGGAGGATACTGTGAGCAGTATGAACGATATCATGGATACGGATTTTGTGGATTTTGAGCTGGATCCAGAGCTGATGGAGTTGCCGTTGAGGTCGGAGTCTGAGGCCGGAGTGGAGAGGGACGAGAAGAAGTCATGACAAAAGGTGTGTCGTGCAATGCAGGAGGCAGTTTGTACATAAGAAGAGAGGAGGGCTTAGCTCCTCATCGAAAAGGAATTGAGCTCGAATTCGAAAGGCAGGGTTTAAACCCAGCAACAAGACCTGGGTCTTTTCAAAGCTCGCTATCTACGCGTCGGTCCTTATCACTTTCTGCTACTCTCTGGAAAGAGGTTCGTAGCTGCTGAGAGTTCTGCCGGTTGCATCTCGCGAAGAACGGTATCATGGTTAAAGGCTCGCGCACCGAGCGCCAGACTCTGGCACGAGATCCAAGTCGACCAGACACAATCTTAGTAGAACCTATATCGTCTCTGCCCTCGAGTGCGAGAACACGAGCGTCTTGAGTTGTCAGGCTGAGCATTTGATGGCCCCCTATGTTTACGAAATCTTGTTCGAAGTGAGCACTTTCCGGCAGGCCAATGTTATGAAAGCCGCCACATTGCTTGATAAGCGCCTTGTTGTCCCAGCTCTCTGCGGTATAGACAAGTGGTCCGCGGATGACGGTCAGAGCGTCTTTGTGAGTTTCTGGGTGTGGAGACTCCAGGGTGATTGGCATGTCGAAATCGATGACCAGCTTGGCATCGGCGGGCAGTGACAATCTTTGGAAGCCAGTAGGAGTCTCGCCGCCAACTTGAACTCCATTTACGCTGAAGTTCACAGCGTAGCTGGGAATAGGCAGATTGATGTTCCATTGCCAATCCGCTGGCGCGGAGAAGGTGAGAATAGTTCTGCCGCCCCAGGGCATTGCACTCTCCATGTTGACCACAGCTTCGTTCTGTCCGGATGGTGGTAGAGGTATGCGTCTGGCGGCGGAGAGGTATAGATATATGTTGAGGTTGATGGTTGTCTCAACGATTTCCGCCGACCATGTATAGCCCCCAAGTAATCCGAGGGTCCGACAAAGATTCGGTGGACAGCAGCAACAATCAAACCAGTCGGATCGCTCTGTGGTTCCAGTTTTGCTGGTTGCCAAGGGGTTTGCATAGAAGAAACGCGTGCCATCAAGGCTGGCTCCGCCTAACACAGTATTTAGAAGGCTGCGTTCCATGACATCGCGAATGCGGCCGTCCAGCCGGTGACTCAAGAGACGTTCGCCCAGCATGCATAAACCAATGCTGGCACAAGTCTCTGCATAGCAGCCACCCTCATCTTCACAATCGGGAAGAAAGTGAGGGATCTCGGAGAAGCCCTCTATTGACGGGTCGCTACCGATACCGCCAGTGGAATACATCTTGTTGTCAACCGTATCGTCCCACAGCCTTCTAGCAGAGTCCAAGAAGTTCTCGCCAAGATCGGCGGCGGCAGTGAGCAGATACATGGCGCGAACTGCATGTCCGACGACAGCCTTTTGTTCATTCAAAGGTGCATGCCATTGGTGGTATCGTCCGTCCGTGATGCTCTCCATTGTTCGATGATAATACTTGTCTTGGCGCTGCTCCGCCTCCCATACGAAAAAGGCACGGTTTCCCAGGTCCGGTTCGATGAGGCCTCGGGTGCCCACGAGATATCGAGCAAATTCAAGATGCTTCTGATCTTGAGTTCGACTATACAACCTGACCATGGCCAACTCAAGCTCGGGATGACCAGGGTAGCCGTGACGCTGATCTGAATTGGGTCCAAACATTTGCATCAGCAGTGCCACGTAGCGGATCATGATGTCGAGAAACTTGGTCGAGCGGGTATATTGATGATGGGCGAGGGCCGCTTCAAGCAAATGTCCGCAACAGTCTATCTCAGATCAGCCTGAGACCCAAGCCGGATCAAGGCGAACTCACACATTTCATGCATATCCCTCAAGTTCTGTAGCCTGCCTTTGCGATCGACCACGGTGAAGTATGTGCCCAGGTAGCCATCGGAACTTTGTGCGTTTTCCATCATGCCAATCAATTCTTCGATGGCCAGCGCGAATTCTCTGCGATGAGGGGATCTTTGTCCTTCTGGTGAGGCGAGGAAGTAACACGCTGCTTCCATCCATTTGGCCACGTCGGAGTCCCAAAAGAGGGAGATGGGGCTGCCGGTCAGCTGCAGGATCTCAGCAAAGTCGTTGCCACCGCAGGAGCACGCTCAGATACCGCGCATTTCCCACCCTCAAGCCTGCCAATGTCGTACTTCGGATTCCATTTCAGATTCCACGCATAGTAGCTGCCCTGCTTCCTGATCTGGTGCAGCTGTGTCTGGAGGACTTGATGGGAGAACAGCTGGCGCAACTTTCCATAGAAGGATTCGGGGGCGAAGGCTAGAATAAAGGACGGACATGAGCGTGGATGGCTGCCAGGTGAGGGAAAGTGGCCTACTCGTTTCTACGTATGTCTCCTGTGGATGGGCTCGATGAGTGGCGGAATAGAGGGCAACATGGGAGCTGCTTGGCTTGCTGCTGGGCCGTGCGGGACGCATTGTGTGATACGGCATCAATGTCGTGGTGTGGTGTACTGCGGTATACGGTATCGTGATAGGGATATCTATCTGCAGATGCTTCGGCCGTGCCAGGTGCCATATCAATCGTCGCAGCCCATATCGAGGGAGGGTAACAGCGCGGTACGACGTCAAGGTGGGGTTCGCAAGGGTAGAATCGGTAGATCTAGTTCTATTGGGGGGGGGGGGGGGGGGTGTACTCGCTCCAAACGTTGTTTGGCGACCTTCGTTCTTGGTATTTACCACTTTACCTTACCCTCGCCACTGCAATACCACTGTACTCGGATAACATGCTACACGCGCTCCGTGTTGGCTGAGGCAGCCCACCCGGCAAGAAATGGACCCCCAATAATTTCAGGCCTCGTTGTTTGTCGACCTGATCGATGGGATCGAAGCCAGTCTGATCCTTGTGCTCCAGCATGCCACCCCAGAAGAGTTGCTATATTTTGCCAATGGCCGGCATTACTCTCGCGGCCGGCGAGTCAAGCTTGATATCTGGACCACTTGCAATACGTGACCTCTTGCTCTCCAGTGACTGCAAGTATGTCGAAGAAGGGCGACAATATCCAACCGATGGCAGAGCCCGCGGTGTATCACGAGCAGGCGCTGGAAGAGAAGCCTCGTCGCCGTCATGTATCAAGTCGTGCTCAAGCTCAGGATGAGCATCACTTCGCTGCTCCGCCATTGTCAGTCGCGACTTAATGTTCAAGAAACCCGGGAAGACCTCTAATATCCTCGTTTTTAGTGATCGAAAGCTGGAAACGACCGCCGACGAAACGTTGAAGCTGGAGGAAAGACTCCACAATATGACCCTGGAGCGAACCCTCAAAATCGCCAAGGAGCTCTTGTACATGCATGAAACCGATCCAAACTTCTCAGGCGACACTTTGAACCAGATCAAAGACTTCCTCGCCAACCCACCGACGACAGATACACCAGAAAAGAACGAAGAGCTCAGGTTGATGAAGCTCGAAGCTCTTCTGGCTGTGGAGAATTCGCCGTATGCAGAAGTGCGCGCGAATGTCGACCCGACGGATGATCCTGATATGCCTTGCTCCACCTTGCGAGCTTGGCTAATCGGTATCGTCTTTTCGGCCGCTGGCACTTTCATCGACACCCTGTTTGCATTTCGATATCCCAGCATCGCCATCTCTGCAAACGTGGCTCAGTTGGTTGCATGTGGGTAGAGAGAGTCGGCAAGTTGTGTTCATGAGCTCATTTGCACTGCAGATCCGGTGGGAACTTTCTTCGCCCGTTACCTTCCTCACTGGAGCTTCACGGTTTTCGGTCAGAAATTCGAACTGAATCCTGGCCCATTCAGTAAGAAAGAGCACATGCTCATTACCATCATGGCCAACGTCTCCTTCACCGCACCCTACACCTTCTACATCATTCCTGTCCAAGCCATGCCGCAGTGGTTCAACATGTCTTTTGCACGTAGTCGAGGATACCAGTTCTGCATCTCAATTGCCGTCAACTTCTTTGGCTTGGGTATGGCTGGTATCTTACGCCGATTACTTGTATTTCCTTCGATTGCCATCTGGCCCGCAAATCTCCCTTTTGTCGCACTGATCAAAGCGTTCCATTCGGAAACAGATGAGCCGGTTCCTGGACCGTTCAAACGCATTTACACCTGGACAAGACAGAAGATCTTCCTATGGGCAACATTGGGCATGACCCTCTATTTCATGCTACCGGGGTACGCACAGAGGTCCATCACCGGCCCGACTTATGCTGACTATCAAGACAGATATCTTTTCGCCGCTCTCTCCATATTTTCGTGGATCACGTGGATATCCCCGTAAGTTACACAAGCTTTAAACCTCTCTCTCTTGTCTTTGGCAGCACCTGGATCTTACAAGAGCTCGGCTGATGGGTGGATCACAGTAACAATATCACTCTTGATGCGGTATGCGGCGTGGCGGGTGGTGTCGGCTTGAACCCGTGGCCTACGTTTGACTGGAATATGTTTACAGGCTCCGGGCTGTCCGGACTGTATTTGCCAACATTCGCTATAGCCAACCAAATTGCCGGCATCATCGTGGCGGCAATCATGATACTTATCATCTGGTTTCGCAACGCTTGGCAAACGGGGTACCTTCCCATCAATTCGAACGGAACATTCGACAATACCGGAAAGAACTATAACGTGTCCAAGGTCCTGAACCAAGGGAACATATTCGATGAGACTCGTTACGAAAAATACTCCCAGCCATGGTTCTCGGCTGGATTCATCGTGTACAACATCTGGTGCTTCGCCTCGTATTCTGCCGTCCTATCCTACGTCTACCTGTTTCACAGAAAGACCATTTTCCGCAGCTTTCGCGGCATTTACCGCCAGGTGTTCCATAGAGGGGACGACACCGAAATCGAAGAGGATGTGCACTGGCGACTCATGCAATCCTACAAGGAAGTACCAGACTGGCATTACATCGTCCTCTTACTGGTCCCGATTGCCTTCGGAATCGCAGCTCTCAAAGGCTGGCCAACCGGCGTGGGCGTCGGCCCTCTTTTCTATGGCCTGATCATGCCCGCCGTCTTCATCATCCCAATCGGCATCATCCAAGCAGTAACGGGGATCCCAGTGGCCATCAACATCCTAGCAGACATAATCGGCGGCGCCATCAATGCCGGGGACGCAAACGGCTTGATCTACTTCAAGTGCTGGGCATACCTATCCTCCTGGCAAGCACTGAGTTTCTGCCAAGATCTCAAGATGGCACACTACATCAAGATCCCTCAACGCGTCACTTTCTGCGCACAAGTCGTCGCGACCTTCATCTTCTCCCTCGTCTCAGCACTCCAATACAACTTCATCCTCGGCATTCGAGACGTCTGTACCCCCAAGGCACCATTCCGGATGACCTGCCCTTACCAGAAAGGCTACTACACCGCCACCGTCTTCTGGGGCGTCATCAGTCCCAAGAAACTCTTTGGAGACGGTCAGAGGTATAACATGATGCTCCTCGGCTTCCCTCTAGGTTTCATCCTCGTATTTCTCTACTGGGCCGCGAGGAAAATGTATCCTCGCTCAACATTCCTTCGACTCGTCAATCCCGTCGTCTTTTGCACGGGACCCGTGTCTTTCGGAGCACCGTACAATTTGGCCTTCCATCTGCCGAATCTTTACGTCAACTTGGTCTCTTTCGTGTATATCCGGAAACGCTATCTTGCGTTCTGGTCGAAGGTGAGTTTGGTCGGTGTTGAGAGAAATGATCTTTTTGACTGACGGAAATTGTAGTGGAATTATGTCATCAGTGCGGCATTCTCTTGCGGGATTGCCATTGCTGCTTTGATCATTTTCTTCGCTTTGGAATTGCCGAAGAACGGGACTCTGGAAGTTAACTGGTGGGGCAATTCGATCGTTGAGAAAGGCTGTGATGGTCAGGGCGGTTGTCCAAGATTGACGCTTGGAAAGAATAGCACTTTCGGGCCCTCTTCGTGGTCAAGCTGAGTGTGGGAGTCGAGGTGCTGGAAGATGATCAAGATCATGTTTGTGCACAAATTGATCATGATAAGTTCGATGCGGCAGTAGTTTCTGGCTTTAGCGCGCTCTATCAATGCACAAGTCCTCCGTAATATACACCGCGTACATCTACCAATTTCCTGCCTCGTGCACGTGCAACGTCTTCTGGTAGACGTTGGCTCGTAAGAGCTTGGAAAGCTGCCTTGACCACGTTCATCTTGTTGCGAGAGCGTGGAGTTCGGGCAGCAAGATCCGATATGCCCGCAGCACGTGCAAGCTCGTAGATGAGAGATTGACAGCGATTGCCGAAGCCTATTCCAATGTCAGCATAACTCGTTCAGCCGGGAAATGAAAAGCAGCACATACCAGGTGGCCGAGCGCTCAGCTTGACGATCGACGCTCCAACTTTGCCTTCCACCTCCCCGTATATCGTCCGTTCCTCATACCGTGGGATAGGCTTCATGTTTCGAATCGCACTATACATAGCTTGTCTCCGTCCATCTTCATCTTCTGCCGCTTTGCCCTCACCAATCCCCAGCATCCCATCCATATTCCCTGCTATCGTTAAGAAGTACAAGCTCTGAATTTTGCCCATGCGTGTCTGATTCACAACACGATGACTGACCAGGTTCTTCACTCGTATTCTCCGAATTTCCTCCTTGGTCATCCCGGTCTGCTGCATTAGTCGAAGCAGGTGCGGATCGACTGGCTGTTCGTCCTTCTTGTCTGGTTTCTGCCGATCACCTGCGCCTTTCTCTTGCCCTTTTGCACGTCCTGCTAACTGCTTGCCTTCTCGCAGTTCTGCGCTCTCATCGTCTTTGATGTAGCGGGATTGGGTATCAACAAGAGGTCGCACAGTAGCGAAATCGTCAATGTAGTCGATGCGCATAGGATCTGTTCGGAATCGTCCGTACTTTACGAGGTCGCGAGTCGGGATCGCCTTTTCTCCTGCTTCAATGGCTGCCATCTGCTCGGGAGTGTACTTCATGGCTAGCAACTTCTTCTCTCGTGCCGTATACGGTTTAAAATGAGCCTCCATAGCATCGATCTCTGGGTTTCGCGATTCTGAGAGCCCCATTTTTGATGCTTTGACCGATTTATATTTGGATCGGATGCGCTTTTGCTGGGAAGGTGTGCTGTGAAAGGCGCGTCGAGTATTGTTGCTTCCCTGCTTGACACTTTGTTTTAGCCTGCACGAGAGGCATTGGTATGTCCGCGACGACGACATGGCCAAGTGCTGAGCGAGTCAATGCTCGCTGTTGTGTGAGGATGAAGGGTAAGGGTGAGGTTCATGCCGTTGCCATGTCCTCCGCATCACACTCCCGGCTTGGCATCGACTTTGGACCTTCACGTGTCATGGGACTTCATGTATCGACAACATACACACTATCATGGCTCTTCCAACGACGGCAGCGAGGAATCTTGCGTGCTTAAATTGCAGACAATTGGTTTTGCGATCATTCATCGCAAGTATCGGCGGATCCTCACTGGCATCAACACCACCACGAATATCACCCAGGACTTTCGCTTCGTCTGCGAAAAGATGTAACGAAGCGCGAGAACGGATACAACCAGCAGAGGACGATACCCATTCTCTCAACCATATTAATTTCGACTTTTCACGACCAGCGAGCCACATGTCCAGAACGGAAGCAAGCAAGGAGGAAATAAAAGCTGTGCCTGAGCTAGAAGCAGACGCAGAGAGAGACCTAGAAGCCGAGGAATTGTCCGAAGAACTGGTCCAAGAGTCGATGCGAGAGGCGCCATATGTGCCATGGTATCTTCAAGTCGAACCACCCATCGCACAGCAAGAAGGCAATCCTCTCGACCGACAAAAGATACCAGACATACCCGACCACTCACCCGAACTCCTCGATCCATTGCTTCAACGAGTGTCCGTCGAACTAGGAATGGATGATTTGGCGCTATTGGATTTACGAGAACTCGATCCGCCACCTGCCTTGGGAGCGAACTTGTTCATGATTGTGGGGACAGCGCGATCAGAGAAACATCTCCACGTCTCAGCAGACAAACTTTGTCGATGGCTGAGGTCAGAGTACTATTTGACACCGACCGCAGATGGCCTGCTGGGCCGCCAAGAGCTGAAAGTGAAAATGAGGAGAAGAGCAAAGAAGTCGAAACTGCTGTCTGCTGTCGGCGCTAAGTCTACTGCGAGTACAGAATTGGATGATGGTATTCGGACAGGTTGGGTGTGCGTTAATGTAGGAAGAGTGGAAGGTGGAGAGCTGCCGAAGAGCGAAGGTGATGTCGAAGCCGAGGAGGAGGAAATTATTGGGTTTGGAACCAGGGCAAGTGGAAGTCATATCGTGGTTCAGCTGATGACTGAGGAGAAGAGGGCGGAAATTGACCTGGAGAAGCTGTGGAGTGATCTCCTTTGGCGCAGCAAGAAAACGAAAGAGGTACAGCTGAAGATGGCAGAGGAGGAGCAAGCGGCGGAAATGGCATCATCAGACTTTGAGAAGTCGGATTCGACAGTGACGATTGATCCATCTATCGACACAAGCTCGACCAGTCAAGCTCAGGTACAAATATGAGCGGTTCACTTTCCAACCGGACTCAATCCAAGCGACATCTCCCACTACAGAATGTGTTCTCTCTACATTGTAGCACAAGGCCCATCCTTATGATAGTGATGGTTGTGCATCACAGTCCTGGTCCTAACAGAAGCCGGAGCGTACTTCCTCACACGCGAACTCTTGAGTGCACGAGTCTCTATCTTCGGCCGTGACGGTTCATCATCCGCAGATTCAGACGAAGACTCATCATCCGACTCCTCACTCATACGCTCCAAATCAAGCTCCTGAAGCTCTTGCTATGGACGCTATTAGCACTCTATACGGGAGACGGACGAAGCATTGTCTATCAACCGATGTCAAGTATCTCGGGACCCGAACCTGATATTGCTCACCTCCAATCCCTTTAAAGCGATTCGAGACCTTCAACATATCTCTACAGCTCGGACCCGGAAACTTCCGCCGCAAGCAAACGATAAGATCATGTCTGTCAAGCCCCTCTGCTTTCACGGTTTGGAAAATTCCACTTGCGCGCTGTTCTGCTAGAGCACTCGCTCCCGAACCTCGAGAAAAGTCGGCTGTTGCGGAGGAGCAGCAGTGTCGTCGGTTCGTGGTTGCACTGTAAGTATAAGTATAGTGATCTGCGAGAATCAGCACTAACCCAGGGAACACAACAGCAGCGTACTCAAAATTTCCGCCGTCGTCGCCGACAAAGATCTGCAAGCTTTGAGGGTAGTAGGGCTGGACGTATGAATCCGAACCGCTGTGCTGTGCTGTGGGGCATGCGAGGGATTGTTGTGCGGCCTGGTCTGAGCTGGTATTGGAGCTATCAATTGGGTAGGTATAGCCACGGGAGAGGGATAAGTTGGTCTTAGAACGAGCTCTCGAGATGTTGATTGATGCGACAAAGTTCTTGGGTCGGCTGCTGGAGTTACTTGAGCTTGCGGAGCAGCCCATGGCCTATCGTAATAGTCAGCTTTGAGAGAAGGGTAGCGATGTCCATTCTGATCTATTGGGGAGCATGTGTACATCCAGGCGCTACTTACCTTCTCCTGTGATCGTCCTCGTCGCCAACTGTACAATCAGACTGCGCTCTACTGAAAAATCATGCTTCATGCTCACCTGACATGTTTCAGCGTCAAAGGCTGTGGAATCAAGTCACTTTACGATCAATAAGTTCTTCGCTCCATGGGAAAGCTATCCTATATCGTTGGTTGGGCTCGAATATGTTGGCCATCAGAGACCGCCTGCAGAGGACATACGCCCGACGACACCAACTTCCTCCCGCTCCCGCTGCTGTGTAACGCTAGATTGAATTCCTATAGACTGTATCCCAAGCCATTGACCGTAAGTTCACTTCGAACCATTCGCCTCGGCCTTCTTTCGCAGTAATTTCTCGTCGGCATTCGAGTCGAGTCTTCATACCACAATACCACCCTGTGGTGATCCCACCCACTCTTCCATTTCTCGTACTAGCACCTCAGCCGCGAAAACCCCGCGCGTCATTCGCATCTTTGAGGCTACACCATTTCCTCTCACTCTCCATCTTTCGTATCATCCGGATTTTTGAACACTTCTTCTTCCAAATCGATTCCTTTCTCCTTCACTAAATATCGAATCTGGTCCACGCGAAGTCGCAGGACGAAACCAGATGAGAAGGCCCGCCTAGATATTAGTTGCAGCTCATTCTTGGAGAGCATTGGTAAACGAAGCTCGCGGAGCATCGAAGCGTGTAGGCGTGGCAAGCTCGCCACCCACTTCTGGATGAAATAGAAAACTTCCTGACGCGTGTTTTTTCCTGTTGTGAATGTGAAGGCATTGCTTGAGTAGTAGCGTGCCGCAGCGACATCGCGTGATTTGCGCGAGATCTGGAGCTGACTTGGTGCGCGATAGTTCGATGTGACGGCAATGACTCGATCGGAATTAGGCGAAAGAGTGAAGTCGAAGATGATGTCTTGGAGCTCTTGTGGAAGGATCTGAATGCGCTCGTCCAGATCGGTGTCTGCGCTAGTGGCCATAGCTGTTTTTGGTGGCTAGGCGCGACCACGCTGGCTGTGTGTCTGGAAGAGAAGGTTGAAGTTGCCAGGAAAGCGTGTTGGTGATGGTATAGAGAAGGGGAAAGGGTGAGTCAGTGCGCTATCAAAAGCTCGAAGAAGACCCTCGACGCCACGTCATGTGCATGACGCAGGATAAGGTCCGTGCGTTTTAGATGAAGAAACGCCTCAATCGAGGTTCCTCTCCACTGCCTGGTTCCTCTGCGCTCTCCTTCTCCGCTGCTCGCTCTGGCTTCATTGTGCTGTCCACGAACTTGTGCTCCTTGCCACTGAAGTCGACCTCCCGGTACCTGATTTCCCACACCCATAAGGGTATCGATTTCAGCTTCTTCCGCATCTCTTCATCATGTTGCCAGTAATGATCAGAAAGTTTGTACTTTGGATTGTTCCATCGTAAAGTAGGTATAGCCATGACATCAACGTCTTCCTCTACCACGCCGGTTCCAACATCCCCGCCGACAGGCCTTTTCGTGATAAGAGCCGGTAGGGTGTTATGCACGAGGCTCGGTACAGTACGGAGCCGGCTGTGAAAAAGCCTGGATTGCCAACTTCGCAAGCTACGGCCAGTCTTTGCGATATGATCAGGGTCCAGAAATGTTACTGCAATCTTGAGGCCTGGATCTGGGGAAATTTCTCCAAAATGGCCCACACGGATCCAGTAGCGATTGTCCCACAATATCCATTGTGACCATCGGATGCCTCTCTCCAATAAGGCTTCTCCTTCCGGCCAGCAAAGCTCAAAGTCTGAGCTGCGGTGTCTGATAGGGCGAGCGCGTTGAAGTCTGAATTGAGCTCTGCCTTCCTCATGTGTCATTGACCTGTGGATATTGACCTCGGCGATGTGCAGGTATTGTGAACCCACAAGCGATTCTGTGCCAAGATTTGAGAACACAAGATCAATACCCATGTCCAGTTCGGTCAATAAGATGCTGCGATGTGGCGCGACAAGAAGCAGCAGCTTACGCAGTAGCAATGCGAGAACATGGCGATCGGCTTTCGCACTTCCCATTCCGGCCTTGAAGTCCGGCGAAAGCGAGAAACTGACGGAGCCAGAAGCCAGATCGAGAGTTGCTGGGATGGAATAGAAGAGCTCAGTCGCTCGGTCTTCATACCTCTGCCGGCCTCGAAGTAGTCTGCTAGACAAAGCGAGCAGATTCTCTGTCTGCAAAGCAACAGGAAAGCAGTCCTGCTTTTGCAGATGACGGATTGCGTTCCGCAGGGTCAGCGTCATATCAGCATTGGTATGATCTTCGAACCAATTAACGTTCAATTCTTCACAGATGGCGATCAAGTCATCCTTGGTGTAATTCAGAAGCGGTCGATGGACTACCAAACCACCACGTTCAACTGCCATGCCACGATATTTGCTCCCGCCGAAGAATTTGTTGACAGGAAATGATCCACCATCGTCACCATTTCTCGAAGCTGGATAGTAGGGATCGCCACTACCATCAACCCCATAGATGCCGTCGCACTCAGGAAATTTGCGGGTAGTCTTGATACCCCTAAGACCGTGTCCGTAGTACCTGAGAAGCATGCGCACCAGAATGGTCTCAGCCTGGTCATCAGCATGGTGCGCAACAAGAACCGATCGAATGCCGTCGCGAAAGCACGCTTTGCCGATGGCCTGATACCTGAGTCTTCTCGCAACGCGTTCAAAGTTGGGCACTGCTGTGGGATTTCCGTAGGAAGACCAGTCCAGCTTCAGTACTTTGGGCTTGATACCAATACGAGTTAATTCACGCGCAACTTTTTCCGCTTCGTCGCTGCTCTCAGGTCGATAGCCGTGGTCCACGATGTAGCCAGAAAAGCCCACGTCATGCTTGCGATCGCGTTCAACGCCATGCCAATAGCACGCGCATATTGTGGCAAGTGCCATAGAGTCGACTCCGCCACTTATCGCGAGGCCTGAGATGCATGTCAGCTGAATAATGGTAGCCGACTGTAGGAAGTGATACCTAGCCTAGGCCGTTCAAAAAATCGCCGTCCAAATCGCGGACTGCCATTGTTGGCCAGTCCAGCAATGTACTTGTAGACATCGGCGCGAAGGGCTTGGAGAGCAGCGGCCTTTGAAACGCCACTGATACCCTCGAGCATACCCTTTCGACACCATATCCTGTCGATAACAGGCTGGATGACCAAGATGGAATGGAGTGAGTTGTTGTTGCAGTCGATGGACGCGGTGATGGCAAAGGAGAAGGAGACTGGCTGAGATTTTTCATCACGATTGCGTTGTTTCGAGAACGACAGACAAGGAAGGGAAGGCGTGAACGAGACTTCACTTCTTATGGCAGGAAGGGATGCAGATGCAGACAAAGTCAAGAACCAACTTCTTTCTTGCACATGGATGCTACTTCTTCTATAATGCGCCTTTCTTCCCGAGCGAGACTTCATTTGCCCTCGTTCCTGCGAGAGGTCTTCTGCTCCAAGATGCGTCGCTTCACGCAGTCCGACGACCACAATCCCATGCGCCGTCATGCTGTACAACACCCAACGAAACGCTCCAAACCACACCGAACCTTTCCCTCAGCATCAACAATGAATGACGCGCTGCCGCAACCACGGCCTAGTCGTCCTTAACGGCATCCGCGAACGACAGCGCGCCAAACTGACCCTTCGGCTTCGGCGCAAAGTGCCGCAGGCCGCCATTACCACTCAGCTTGAGCGTGCCCTTGACGGGCGTCAAGACCTTCTTACCGACCGCAGTCCAGCCATCAGCATCAGCCACTGGCTTGCTCGGAGGAATTTTGAGGCTCAGCGTAGGAGGCTTCTTGACTGAGGACGGCTTACTCGATGGAACAGTGAGCGAAGTGCCGGCGGAGTCTGTGAGACTGGGCGTGTCGATGCTGCCACTACGCGAGGTAGCAGCATCGTCTTCGGTCTCAGGATCAAGAGTGGCAGCGCTACCGCGGCGCTCCTCTTCGGCTTCGGCAGAGTTCTGCTCTTTGTTGTGCTTATCGCTCCATTCCTTGCCGTTGTCCATCAGGTCGCGATATGCCCTCTTGTTTGCCCATCTCCAGAAGCCTGCTCTGTTCCGCGCGGTCATGGCAAGCTCGTCATTGAAGTGGACGAGGTCACTCTTGATAGCCTCGACTAGCTCCTTGACGAGCTCGCCTTCCTTGCCGATAGCCTTTGGGTCGACTTCAAAAGCTGAAAGTAACTGCTCGATCTCCTGGTCGTCGAGCAGAACATTTCCACCTCGCTCTTTGATGATATAGTCATGTCTCGCTGACTTTGAGTTGCAGGTGCTGTTGTGGAAGCGTAGGTTGTGCTTGATGTCCAGGTGCTCCTCGGATTCCGCCAGTTCTGTCTCTGCCTTATCTTCGCTCTTCTCGGGCTCTGGATGCAATGTCTTGGCCACGAGCTCGATGTCCGCCGTCGTCACTACCTTGTCCCGCTCCAACGCCTTTGCCGCCTTCTTTGCCACCTTTCTTTCTTTCTTGGAGATTTTAGCTGCCTCAAGCATGGGAGGCAGTGGACCGCTCACAGAGTTGAGTGCCTTGCTCGTGAGCGGAGTCCTGGGAGTCCGTGGCGTAATAGGCGACATCATGAGCTCCATGGCTGCAAGTTCCTCGTCTGCTTTGAACTTCTTGATTTTGGCCAGAATTTCAGCGATCTGCCGATGCCGCTTCTCATGCTGTTCATCAGTATTCTTGCAGGCCTGGCATCTCGAAGACCAATTCTTTCGGAATAGTGAGTGGTAGCGATGGCACCATTCGACGTGGCTGCCAAGGCAGATGGTCCGGCATTTCTCGTGGCTAAGAGGAGTCTGACAGATCGGGCAGTGGTGTTCTGGAAGCAGAGGTGGTTAGAATATGGTCTCTCAAGAGATATTCTCGCAGCACTCACTCAAAACGCCGCCTTCTTCCCACTTGAAGAGGTCTTGAGGCATGTTTGCTGTTTGCTTGCGATGCCCCTGCTGGTGGTGGTGTTGTGCTGGTTCTTTGTTGGTGTCTGCGTGGTGGTGCTGGTGATAAAACTGCGGCAGGCTTTTGATGGTGCCTTCGAGTGCTGCCTGGCCTGGCGATGGAGAAGCTGCTATTGTTGCAGCCAAAGTCGAGCAACTGAGTGTGCATATTCTATCTCTGAGTGAGGTCGATCAAACGAAGGTCCTCCACTTGTCGGTGGAGTGTGCAGTAAGCGAGTCGGACAGCTGCAGATGATGGATGATGGATGGTATGGACCGGCGGCGGAATGCAGTAGCCTGGCGCGCCTGGTCGACCGAAATTTCTGCTTGTAGACGTTTGGAGCAAAAAGAGGTGAAATTTGGATGTTTCTTCAAGATTTTATGTATCTACTAGCAACAGGGCCGTTGCGGACGGGAGGGGAGTCGTCTGGGCGTTTGTGTCACTTCTTCGAATTTTGGCTTCAGATGCTCAAACGGCGCGTGTCAAAGTGAGATGCTCGGATTTGGGCAAAGACTGCGATGATGGCAGCGGCGTCAGGCTGCCCAGGTGCGCCCCGTCTTGCTTGATTTGGAGGTGAGCAGCTCGAAACGACATGTGCGGAAGTGTGCAGCTGTGGCCACGTTGTGTTGACGTCCAATTCGAGTTGTTTCCCAAATTCTGTTTGTTTACGAATATCGCTTCACAGACTATCGATTGCTGGGATCGTCGCGTGGCATCGCTCGTCAGGGTCTTCACATGCATTGGCGAGAACTGGGGTAAAGCGGTGAAAGTGCAAGAGCACCCGACCTCACCCATTAGTCGCTATATCGAGGGGAGAGTTTTAACTGGCTGGAGACTGTGCAAGCAAGCTTGCGCGAGGAAACATCACAGGCCGTTATGTTGCTATCTCGTTACTGCATGGACTGTTGCTTGACTAAGAATAGATATTGTGATCCATCACTTTTTCGGACGGATACGGATCACAGATCCTTGACCAAGCGCGCACCCGCCCAGACGAATGGATAGTTGCGCTGATACCAATTGATCCTGCGAGATGGGTCAGTACACCGCTGTACCTTTTACGACTCTCAACTTCACTTACACTGACTTCCTCCCAGCGAACCTTGGATGAGTGGCCCAAGAACCGCCAAGTACGATATTGTGCTTCTCATCGTAGAAGTCGGCACTGTAAGCCGGATACAGAGTCATCGGCTGGAAGCCCTCACGCTTCTCCAAGACTGAGCTGGTCCATTCCCACAGACCCCCCATCTCAGCCTGGCCAGCCAATTTATCTCCGGCTGAAGTGACTGGCATCGGGTGCCAGTGCTTGAACCCTACATTGGCCTCGTCAAGGTCAACGTGGAGTTCAGTTGGGTCAGGACCAGCTGGAATGCTGGTCCCGTTGATCAAAGCCTTGGATGGCGGAGTCTCCTCGACACCATCGTTGACCAGATGACCGTTCACTGCTGGAATCGTCTTGCCGAGATTTTTGCCCGCCTCGCGTGTCTTGAGCGTGGCTGCATACTCGTAGATGCTTCGGGCTTCCTCCATGGTTGGGATACGACCTCCCATGTAAGCAGCACAACCTTTGAGCTCGTCATACGAAGCTGAGACTGGCCAATCGAGAGCCAGACTCAATGGAACTGGACCATATACTGTGCGCACATACTTGCCATCGACGAAGTGCTGCAGCTCAGCATCATCGTGAGCATCAACGTGGCCGTTGACGCCGTTAGTGTGGCCATTGATAGCACTATCGCGCTTGTTGTGCACGACCCAGGAGGCCGGGATTTGGCTTCCTTTCGTGACACTCAGATACTTGGCGTACTCGCCATTCGTAATTGGACGAGCGGCCGCCTGGAAAGCCTTCACCTTCGAGGTATACGATGGACTTTCAACATCCCAACCGAAATATCGCACTGGTCCGTCGGGCGTGTCGGGGTCGTCGGTTCCGATTCTTACGATTTGTTCCGGAACATTGAACCATCGCAGAGGGACACTTTCTTTCTTGGAACGAGCAGCCAGCTGCTCAAAGTCTGGCTCCACAGTGCCTTCTGGTGGACGCGTTTTCTCACTTTGGATGAGCATGTACAGCAGTGTTTCCAGATGCATTGCTTCATGTTCGAATCCAAGCCACAATGCTCGACCAGTCCAGTTGTCATTGTAAGCCTGACCAGACTTGTACAAATCGTTCACCCGCTCTCGGACGTCCTCTTGATACTTCAAGATGACTCCCAATTCTGGCCAGTCATCAGGAACCTCGCTATGAGCATGGCACTTCGACGGGTCATCAACATCGGGATCGATTCCGCGCTCGAATATGTTTCGGAAGTATGCTGGTTCAATAGGTGGTAGTCCAGTAGCTTCGCCCAACTTGATATCAAAGAATGTTGGGATGTGGCCCAAGTAAAAAATACAAGCATTTCTCAGCTTGATCGGCTTCTCACGAAGTTCTTCATCCGGGATCATTTGCCTTGTGACTCTATCCCACACATGCCAAAGACCGTTCCAATCGTCCTGGCTTGGCACAGGGTGTGCGGCATATTTCTCGGGCTTCCCTGAAAACATACTGACCGGCCTGGTGAGCATGTGCAGAGCTGCGATTGAGCAAAACTGTCAGCAAGAACTTATACAGAACTGATGTCAGAGTGATAATCGATTGGGGTGAGAGAGTCTTCTCTTCAACTGGAAGTTGATTCCAGAGGCTGACAAAATAGAAAGGTGCGGGACTGCCCACCGTAATCCTGTGTTTGATTGGACCATGTCGCTGCTTCTATGACGCCAGCTTGAGACCACAAATGCGAGGATTGTGCCATGTTATACTTGTAGCTCTCTTCGATCCGCACTTTTTCGCCCTCGTTTATGCAGTATCCTAGGACTTCAGTGTCTCGCACTGGAACCACGAAGGCACGGTGTCGTTCGCATTCTTGGTCGTACTCTCCGTGGGCTTTCCAGTCAGCAAGGCGGAATGCCTCGTGGCCGAGTAAGCTGTTTGCATGATGAAGACCATTCATAGTAAAGTTGTGGGTGACCCCATCCATGTCGTTGTATGCATGGTATACTTGGTTCGGATCTTGGCATGCATCGAGGCCGATGATGAAGGAATCTTGTTCGCTTAGGATGGCGGCGAATTGTGAGACAAATCCCACAGCCTCCTCGCGGGTGAAATTTCCGATAGAGGAACCAAGTGAAAGAATGGTCTTTGGCTTGCCAGCATTTTCAGGCCGCTTGAGCCATTCCAGTCCGTCGTCGTAGGTGCCCCAGAGACCGTAGCACTGCACATGCTTGAAGGTTCCAGGCGGTACGAAAGCCAATGTGCGTTCTAGCTCTGACTTCATCAGGTCCAAGGCATAGTAGGAGATCTTCTTTCCTGCACGATCGAGTGCATCGAGCAAGATTTTGATTTTCCGCAGGTTGCTGAGCGTTCGTCAACCAAAGCCTGCAACTCCAATGTAATGGGGATGCACGTACCCACTACCGAGTTCAACAAGCATGGCATTCGATGGTATCCGATCAGCGATACGACTCGCATATTTGGTCAACACTTCGATCTCCTGATCTGTCAAATAATACTCTTCCAGGTAAGTAATTTGCTCAAACAGCTTCAGACCTTTGTTATCGTAAAGTAGAAGCGTTGGAAGTGTCTTCTCTGGCTCGTTCTTGCAGCCGAGGCCGTTCTTGATGAGTTGCTTCAGTTCAAAGCCATCGGAATCGCTTCTGATATCGATAATGCCAGCCACGGATGCTGTTTCGATCTCAGGGATGGAACCCATCTTGGCAATCGGCACTGAGAATGCTGGCAAAGAGGTGCAGATGCAGACGCAAAGAATGATTTCCTTGACGAACCGCGTTCAAACACAGCTATGCAGCACACAGTACGTCCTTTGTACAGAAGCTGGAGCGGGAAGTAGTCTGCAGGAGCGGGCATGCAGGGCACCCGTGGAGACACCATCTCTACTGTTAGCATGGGTCGGTAATAATCGGTATGTACACTGCCTGATTGCAGCAGCATAACATCTGCGTCTTCAAGGAATGCCGAGAAAAACATGGATCAGCGACTGTATTTCCGGTCATCTGGCCCGGCAAAGGAACTGGGGGACGGCATAGCGGAAGCTGTCGGTAATCGAGAGTTCTGTCAGAGAAGATTCCTGGCAGGCATAACTACCAACCACAACTGGACAGCTGGACCAAAGGTGGCGTACTGTGTCGCTGAGGTGGAGACCATTTGGAAACAGGTGTCCCAGGTCCCATATTGGTGACGTTTAGCGGCATGAGCAGCTTACTAGATTCGCGAGGCGCTCGTCATCAATCCGTACATCGATCGTGAACATCCGGCATTCGACAGCAATAGTACGCGGCTCGGGTCAAGGCTCCAACATGTGTATGGAGTGGATGAGGAGTACAGAGGCGTTCAAGGACGCGCTGGAGTAGTTTCCAGGCGAAGGAGGATGTGATGTTCCTGGCAATCAACTCGTGTACCTGAACCATCACTTAGCCAGGTACAACAGCGCTGGTCGCTGCTCACCCTGCATGACGCGCAGCTTACTCTTACTGTGCCAATGTGCTCTGTTGAGGCCCTCTCGCGCGGTACTATTTTGCGGGCGGGTAAATAGGCAGCGCACGCAGCGAAGCGATAGCCCGGACTGCCGCGGCACATGTGCTGCATGAAGGTTACATCACTGTGATGGAGTGAGAGGCTTCGTTGCAACGGTGATGAATGAGCCGACAAGATGAAGTGGAGTTAAGAAGGGAGGGAGGGAGGGAGCAGATCGGACGTCGATCCGTTATCAATCATCTTCGAGCACGGATCTCTACACAAGGGTTGTGACCTGGCAACGACCCTGGCCTTTAAACACTTATCACTGTCATTGCTTCCTTTTGTTACAACATTCTTCCTGAGATTATTTCCAGACCGCCTATCGAGACGAACCACATGATTATTCCTCACTGCCTGAATGCTGAATGCGATCGCACCAAATTACTCTGCGTTCGTTCTGTCCATCCCCGTTCCGTCTACGGAAAATCGGATTCCTTCAGCACGCTGACCCATATCGTTGCCCTGTTCTCGCTGTAGGCAACAACAAGCTTGTCACCGACTTGAGCCGCGGATGGCCAGTAAAAGCCGGGGATTCCACTGTTGACAGGTGGCCGAGAACCTGCGTTAGCCTCCTTGTCCGCATCACCTCCACGCACAATTCCAATCTTCGTGAACGCTGGATCATCTCCACGCGACATTGCTACCGTCAACAATGTCTGGTCGAGTTTGGCATTCATGCCGGAGTTGGAGACATAGTATCGGATCTGCGTCGAGCCGTCATACGCTCCGAAGTGAGCTTTCTGCGACAAGTGGGGCATATTAGTCTGCTTAATGCCGCGACCAGAGTTCGTAGCTGGATACCAGTTCTTGCCGTCCTTGTCCGTACTGTACTCGACGAAGGCGGAGTCGGTGGGGTTCTTCATAGACACGTCAGACCAAAATCGCTGCCAGTAGCCGTTGTTCGATTCGCCATGCCAAACAGCTCTCGTAGGATAGCTGACATTGTGCATGCCATCGGAAGCGATAAGAGGCGCATTGAAGAGCTGAGCAGACCCGGGGCCGAGGTTGTCTGGGTGGTTCACAGCCTTAATAATGGCATCCTTCTTATCGCACATCTTCATCCCAGACTGGGTTCCATAAATGGTCTTCGCCCATAGATGAGCATCGGTATAGGTATTCTTCACGATCCAGCACGGGTCGTCTTTGAATAGCCCGGAGCCATGGACGTCAAGCTCACGGGCGATGCGGCCAGCTGACTCGAAATGGCCAGGACATAAATTGTCGCTCGATTGCGCAACGGCGAAGACTTGGGATGAACCCTCGTCGGCGCCGGGCAAACGCACGATGGTCAACGGCTGCAACGCGCGCTGTGGGATATGCAGGTCGCACCAGTGCTGCGGATCCTCAACATGGTTCTGGGTTGGCAGGAGCGCTGGAGGGAAGGCGACCTCTGGCTTCGACCAGGTAAGGCCTGCATCTTTGGAAGTCGAAATCCGGACGTCTTGACCCATGCCGTCGGCGTCTTTCGCAACACTTCGGAGTGAAAATGGGCATTCACCAGATCCTTGTTTCTCAAGGATTACAGCGAGTAGAAACTTGTATTCAGCGGGCCGCGCCTAGTCACTTTCACTCCCAAGTGTAAAGACGCTGTATACAACTCTGCTCCGAGAAGGTTCATCTGTATAGTGAACAACAGGGGATTACCTTCGTGACTTACTGGCGGCAATCTCCGCCGCACCCCATCTAGTTACTAGTTTCGTACCACATGCCATTATTGCCATATAAGCGGCAACGAAAGCCCCAAATTTGGCGAGACGTGGCAATGACCACAGTCAGAGTCAGAGTCAGTAGTCTGTCAGACCGAGACCTGCCTTTCATGCCTGCGAAAAGCCTCTATAGCAATGTCTCGGACGTTTCTTGCTCACTTCTTTGCAGAGCTGAGCTTCTGTGCATCCAGCATGGCTTTCAGAGCCTTCGTTGAATCCTCTCTCTCCATGATGACCTCGATCATCCTCAAACACGGCTTTTCACTCTTCTCAAAAGCTTCGAGCGCAGTCTTCATTTCACCCCAATCCCTAACTCTGGCCGTCTCAGCGACATACCCTTCACCGCCTGGCTGTTGGCCTATACCGAAAAAGTTAGGTGCCCCAAGATATCTCCACCTCGCCACATCATTGTAACCCTGGTCGATGCCATGAATACATCGTTCGATGGTGTACCCGTCGTTGTTGATCAGCACGATAGTCACATTCAGTTTCTCTTTGATAATTGTGCTCAATTCTTGTGCTGTCATTTGAAATGATCCATCTCCAATCATCAAAATCGTTCTTGGAGGCTTGGATCCATGCCATTTCCCAGCTTCGTAGAGTTCTCGCTGCGCTAGAGCTGCACCTTGGGTTGCTGGAAGCATGTAGCCTATTGAAAGCCAAGAAGTGGCACTGAAGTAGCGTAAATGAGGAGGGAAGGAGATGTCCCGCGTTCCATGACTGGGAGTTCCGGTCTCTGCAAGAAGTATGTCGCCAGTGCGAAGGTATTCGGTCCATGGACGGTAGAAGTTCTCCTGGGTGGTCAGATCCGAGGATGGTGGCAACGCTGTTGATTGTGCGGCTGGTCGCTTGAACGCGTTTACTGGGTTGACTTGCTGTTTGAGCACGGCCAAATCTAGCTTCGATAGCAGTGCTGAGAGAAACACTTTCGCTGGAAGATCCCTGAAGATTCGATCGCCAATGACGACGGATGTGCCTTTGAAGAAAATGGTCTTCTCGGGTGAAGGTATTGTTGTGTAGGCATAGGTGTTGGTGTTGCTGAAGTGAGGGCCGAAGCAAAGGACCAGATCTGCCGAGTTGATGTATGCCAGTTCTTCTTTGCTGGAATAATTGCTTTGCCACATTCCGCAGACATTAGGCAGTGTCTCGTCGACGATGTCCTTGCCAAATACAGAGGTCCACGTCGGCCATTCGGTTTCCTTCACCAGCTTCTGGATGTCATCGACCATGCCGAAAGCTCGGCTCTCTCCATCCACATATAGCATCGGCCGCTTGCTGGCTTTGATCTTCTCCAGGATCGCTGTAAACGCCGCATCGGCATCTGGAGAGGAGATGACGTCAGGTATTGTGAGAGGTGAAGCAAGTCGATCTGCAGGTACTTGAGCAGAGACCATATCAACTGGCACCTGGATGTAGACTGGCCTGCTCTGAATCAGACATTGCAGAATTGTGGTGTCGATCTGCTCAGGCGCTGTTCTTGGATCAATGAGATCGGCTTGAGCAACAGTGACATGCTCATACATGCGAGCAAAATGGTGATAGTCGCCATCCAGCAATGTGTGGTGGATCAGTGCTCGGGTCTCCTGTTGATTTCTCCGGGGTGTTCCAACGATGTGTATGACTTTTGCGAGTTCAGTGTAGGCGCCAGCGATAGCATTGACAGCTGATAGCTCGCCGACTCCAAAGGTGGTGATCAAAGCTCCGAGTCCATTGATTCGTGCATAGCCGTCCGTTGCATAGCCCGCGTTCAATTCATTGCAATTGCCAACCCAATGCAGCCCAGCCGGGTCCACGTAGTCGAGCAAGGTCAGATTGTAGTCACCAGGCACGCCGTGGACTGATCCGATGCCAAGCTGTTTGAGTCTTGTGAAAAGGTACTCCGCCAGCTGCACTGTATGCGGCATTCTGAATTGGATCTGCCGCGAATCAGCACAAGTCGATACGTTGTGTACAGGAGGGAAACGATCAGGATAAGCGAGCTTTTGCAAGATCACCCAATCTTTAATTCGGCAACTGCTCGCCGGCTCTTCGGCTTCGGCAGGCGGCTACAGTCGGCGAGAGCGAGGGGGTGTGGCTCGGGTGTACTTTCTTCCAGCCTCGTATTTCGCTGACAAAGCTATTCGCGGAGTAGTATCGGAGTGTTCGGCGTAAACATTGGTCTTCGTATGCAACAATATAGTTCAAGCGCTGCGTCTACAGCATCCAGAAGATGCAAACGAAAATCTCTCGCGCTTCTTGCATCTTCAGAGCTTCAAGTCCAGCGGTCCGATGGCCTCCTTGCTGTGGGCATGGCACTCGTTGTTGCACTTGTATCTTCCGGAGCGGTGAATCCACCAATATGCATCTTGGGCGGAATGAACGGCGGGCGTTTGCCGTTGAAAGTCGAAACCCGGCAGACCCAGAGGCACAGCCTGGAGAGACTCACTATACCATTACCCGCCGCAACCCACTTGTCCCCCCAAGCACTCTTCTGCCCGTTACCGCATCTCTCCCTACACCACTTTCCCACCTACCAACCCGGCTCCCACCACCCTCCTCAGCCCAGCCCTTCGCGTCTTCCTCCTCACCATGCCCTTCCATGAAAGCTTCCTGCCTCGCATGCGTGCCATCAACCCACTTGTATATACATGTATAGCAGTATACGTACCCCGTCTGGGCGGCAGTAGCAGTCTGAATAGGACCAGAGCATATTGGGCACACAGAAGTGGTGTTGGTCGATTCAGGATCAGACGGCGACGAGTAGTGCGGCGCGGGAACTGTGAGGATGGGCAGCATAGACGTTGAAGATATTGGTGGGCCACCAATGCCACTATCGCGTCGCGACGAAGATGGTCGTTCGCCCTTCTCGTCTGCAAATTCCGCCGTCTTCTTCTCCTTCGCTGCCGCAGGCGGCGCGGCAGCAGGTAGTCCAGAAATCGTGGGAGGCGGTAACTCCAATCCTTCGTTCGCCTTTCTCGAGAGCTGTCGTGCGAAATCCGAGTTATGCCACCACTCCAGAAACTTCAGCGCAAAGATACTAGTCGGCAGCAACAATTTCAAACCCGTCACAACCTTCGGCTTCACCACTCTCGAAAGATTTCTAGGGTGCAGAATTCCAGCATTCGCCTGTCCTGGTCTTGCTGGAAGTGCCTCACCCATCTTCTCAGCAGCCATAGCAATAGCCCTATGATCCGCCTCTCCTAGTCTCCTCACCCTCGTCCCAATAATCCACATAAACGGACTGTGATACTTCGTCCCATCAAACAAGTACGCCAAATTAAAAGCCAGCAATGAGAAGTAATACGCCGCATTGACAGTAGGATAAATCCTCCTCAAGAACCATTTATACGCCCACATGATCTTTTGCCTCCAACTTCCTTCCGCAGGATATCTTTCACCATCGCGATACGCCGGTCCCAGCATATTGATTCCACTGGCATGGATATCATACGATTCGTCCAGTTTCCGCTTCAAATATGGGATTCCCACCATAACTGCCAGATTTCTCCAGACATCTCCATCTCGAAGTCGTAAGGTCTCACGGACTTCTTTCGCTGCGCCTAGTCTTGCGCGAGTGATTTCGCCTCCTTTGATTCGGAGGACTCGTTCGCGTTTGAGGCCGTAGAAGTTCTCGGTGAAGCCTCCGCCGTATGTTCGTAGATAGAAGCGCTCGACTGCGAGGGAGAGGAGGGCATAGATTTCGTCGAAGTTGTTTAGGATTCGGAGCAGGTAGCGCGGGTTGCGATGTGTTGCGACTGCGAGGAGGTAGCGGAGCGATGGTGGGATGAGTGAGTTGAGTTCGTTCTCGGACAGGATTTCGAAGAGCGAAGGTTTCTGATCATCGTAGCCGCCGGAGAGAGCAGTCATAAATTCCATCTTGTCGTTATCGTAGTGGCATTATTATGTCGTGAATTAAGTAGTGGTTGCTGCTGGAGCGTGAAAGGTACTGTGCATGCGAAACAAGCCGCGGTTCGAAACCTGACTCGCGCCCAGACATTCAACAACGCGTCTTCGCGCGAACTCAACTCGCTATAAACATCCAACATGTCCAACTCAAATGGGGCCTCGGGCGGGCAGTCATATTTCGAAGAGCAGCGATCACTTCTAGTACAAGATGTAGCCGCAGTAAGCAATTCCCCTTGGCTCAGCTTGAAGCAAACAGATATTGAGAATGTCGCAGGGCCTCGAGAATGTGCTACAGAACCTCAACAAGCTCAACCGGAGTCTGGAAGGCGTAATCGCGGTTGGCAACGAGTTTAGTCAAGTCGAAGGTCTATGGTCGCAATTCGAGAACGTCATGGCGAAAGAGCCTGAGAAGGAGGAAAACAAAGATGCTGCGAAAGAGGGAGCAGTAGAGGGATCATGAGAGATGATGGCACGCGCACGCGCATTCATGAAATGACGCGAGGCGAGACGAAGCTGGGTTATGTGCACTGCGGCGTTGGAAAAAGCTTGAGATTGTCTATGATACCCAAGAAGCATTGTTTGAGAAGGATGTAGAAAGGCGGTATGATTCAGAAGCATGTTTTCATTTCGGGTCATGATTATTACACATAACTCTGCCAAAGCTTCGCGATCTAGAGATACTTCCTGCGTATCTTGCTGTCTGTCCTAAGAAGTTTATTTCGTTGGCCCAAGAAAAGGAAAATGTCATGTACGCCGTTACCCACAGCAGGCTGACAACATATAAAGATGCTGAAAATGCTGGGGTCTGTATGCATCGCTCTCAGTCAACGCCGAAACCCGTACTAGAGGAGGTGGCCCATCTCGCGTAGCAGCCCGTGCGTGTTGGAGACGGCCTTGACCAGAGTTGGCTGCGCGAGCACTGCTGTTGATTGTGGTAGGAGCGGAGCCTGGGAGTCTCGAAGCTGTCGCGCACTCCGAGGCGAGAGCGCGTACCTGGGCATCTCGTATACTGGACGCTTCGCAAGCCGCTTCTCGCCTGTCAAGTCTGCGGAGTGAGCTGTCAATATAAGCAGATTTCAAATCCAAATCCACTACGCACCGCGAGATGCGAAGTGAATTTAGAGGATGCTGCATTTACTGTGCTTCTTCCGCTTGACAGGCATCGATTGGCTGCCTCTACTCCCCAGTCGGTCGCCCTCTGCTGCCATTCGATCTTGACCTCGTACAGTGATGTCGATGGCTGTATCGAATATTTCTTGAACGCCAGTGGTCTCCTTGGAGGAACATTCCATATATAATGCGCCCATCTTCTGCGCCACCGCTTTGCCCTGTTCCTTCGTTACAGGCGTAAGACCTTGTGTCTTGAGCAGTTCGATGCAAGTCCGCTTGTGCCGAAGATCAGACTTTAGACCGCAGAGGATTATGGGCGTTGTCGGGCAGAAGTGCAGGACTTCAGGGTACCACTAGATGACCATGGTCAGCCTATGTTTATGAGGCTCAATATTGTTCAAGTATACCTTATCGAGAACATTCTCGAGCGAATTTGGACAGTCAATCGCAAAGCAGACGAAGAGTAAATCTGTCTCTGGGTACGAGAGCGGTCTCAATCGGTCGTATTCTTCCTGTCCAGCGGTATCCCAAAGCGCAAGTTCAACGCCTTTCCCCGAAGGCTTGTGCTCGACAGTCGTAATGTAGTTTTCGAATACGGTCGGCACGTATTTCTGGAAGAATTGTCAACGTTATGCCTTCATTTGGCTTATGTCTGCACTCACCTCTGGAAAATAGCCCTGCGAGTAGCTGATCAACAAGCAGGTCTTGCCGCAGCCTCCATCGCCCACCACCACAAACTTCTTGCTGTACTCGGGCGGCGCCGTGATGTTTGTCCTTGCGCTGCTAGTCGTATTGACAGTGCCGTCGCTACCTCGAGTGCTGCGTCGGTAGCTGTCGCCGCGTGTCAAGAAGGACTTGCTGCTGTTCTTGCGTCGCAGATGGTCGTAGTTCGGGTTGCCAGAGACGGCGGTGACAGACATGTTGCGGAAGGCTTATGCGCGAGGTGTGGAATGTAATGCTCGTTGCTGTAGAATATGGGCGCGCGGAGAGGAATGTTTCGCGGTTCAGTCTGCGATAACTAGCGTCGCGATAGGGCCCGTGTTTTGTTTTGAATATGGCGCGGTTGCGGCAGCAACTGGCAACTTCCGCCTCTATGCGCCTTGGCGCCTCACATCCCCCATCTTCTCCGCCGCGACACTCCGCCGCTCCATTGGTCTCCGGTGAAGCCGGTTGCTGATCGAGGCAGTTGCTGTCTCTTTACTCCATGGCTGAGGCATATTTTGCGCATTCAGCAGCGTTGCGTTGTCGAGCGTGGAAGCATGGAAGGACCGTCGGGTGAACAGGAAACGGCGATAAGCCCCGCGAAATAGAAGTACCAGGGTCAAACTCTATGCGTGCCGTCCAACTTCCCACGTCATCTGAAGCCTCAGATGTCCAGACTCCATATCGCGAATCATCCTCAGTTTTCATGTAGAGATTTGGCCCGAGTTCGCGAGATTTTCACTTCCATGTCCCGCCTCGCCTCGGCTCCTACGCGATAAACTAAACCCATGCCTGGTTCTCAGATCCACCTGAGATATCAGGCTCACTTGCGGACGCCCTCTCCAGACCCGGACGCTGGTCTCAAAGGCCTCTCGCACTATGAAAGACGACTGCCAAAATGGCGATACATATTGCGTCAGAAGCTGATACCCATCGTTCGGAAAGAGACGCCTTATCTTGCCAAGATACAAGAAACATTGCGATCGCCCTTCCTGGATTCGTATTTCGCTCTGACCGCGAACCTTGGCACTCACACGTTCTTCATGACTGCTCTGCCAATATGCTTCTGGTGTGGATATCCCGAGCTCGGAGTGGCATTGGTTCATATGCTTGCAGCCGGAGTGTACCTTAGCGGCTACGTGAAAGACCTTGTCTGCTTACCCAGACCGCTATCACCGCCACTTCAGCGCATTACCATGTCAGGCTCAGCGGCCATGGAGTATGGCTTCCCCTCGACGCATACGACGAATGCCATATCTGTGGCTGTTTACTCCTTGCACAAGCTGTGGACAGCACAAGACCAATACTCTTCACTGAGCTTCCGACTTCTCGCCCTGGCATGCCTCTGCTACGGCACATCAATCAGCGTCGGCCGCATGTACTGTGGAATGCACGGCTTCTTCGATGTTGTCTTCGGAGCTGTGCTCGGAGCCATGATTGCAGCCGGTCGCGTGGCATTCGGGCACTCGTTTAACGTATGGCTAGCCAGCGGAGATTGGACAAGACCTGCAGTGACCGTTGCGCTTCTCATACTTGCTGTACGCTTCCATCCTGAGCCAGCTGACAATTGTCCCTGCTACGACGACAGTGTGGCCTTCGTTGGAGTCGTGATGGGTGTCAGCATCGGCACTTGGCACTATACCTCGCTCGCAGGCTCGGCCGATCCGACTGCTGCGTTTGCAATCATGTATGAAGCCGACAATCGGGATCCTTTGAAAGTTGCGGCCAGACTGGTCGGCGGCATAGTGGTAATATTTGCCTGGCGAGCTATCATGAAACCACTTCTACTACGAGGACTTCCTCCAACCTTCCGCTTCATTGCCCACTACGGGCTGAACATGCCAAGGCGATACTTTCTTCAAGCCAGGTACGAAGTCTTGTCACAAGTATGGCGCTCACAAAATTAACATGGGACAGGGACTACAACTCTGTGCCACCGCTCCGTCAGGACGACAAGATCCTGCCGCCTGCGTCAGAGATTCCGAGCATGCTCGACTCCATTCGAAGGCGAAAGAGAACAATCTCTGTTGGTCCTCAGTCTGAAGCGGACGCTCGTGAGCATATCGCGCATCGCCAGCAGCAACGACGGGAAGAGAGAGCAAGGTCAAAATCTCCATCTTCATCTCTTCAGACACTACCGAGGGACGATATGGCTTTAGTTACTCCCGAAGAGCCGGGAGACAGTGCGTCCTATCTGGCCGTAAAATTGAATGCTACGAGCTCGGCGACACCCTCGCGACAGGTCAATCGGATTGGCAGCGACCTGCTCACTCCTCCAGCGAGTGAGAATGGAAATGGCAGCGACAGTGGCAACGACGATGAGAAGAGCGATCGCAAGATGTTCTCGAAACTGGAGAAGCCTCGCATCCGATATGATGTCGAAGTAATCACGAAGCTAGTAGTCTATGCTGGGATCGCGTGGCTGGCTGTCGAAGGAAATCCGATGCTCTTTGCGAAATTGGGCATATCTTAGACTTTCTGATCGCAAAGCATTACTCGGCGCCGGCGTTGGTCATTTCGTTCGAGAACAACGGATGGAGATCAGTCCTCGCGCAATGATCGTTGTGCCAACTGCAGCAAGATTATGTCTTGAATGCACAGCATTGCTGCCAAGAATTATGCACGCCACGATCCTTCGCCCAGCGCCCAGCATTGCCTAGCCGCCAGCGTTTTGCACTTCAGCTTCCATGTCAAATCGTGCTCTGGAGCACTTTGCATCAATTGTGATGGACTCCAGACCAGAAGTAGGTGACAGCAACACTTTTGCGAGAAACTCCGCAAGAGACCAAGCAAGGCAGCATAACGGCAACATTTTCAATAGTGCGTGGGCCTATCGCATCTCCAGACAGTACATTACTGAGCGGCTACAGATTATGAGAACTACTACAACATTCGGCAACGGCGCTCTGACGAGACATTGAGAGAAGACGGTCGGCATGGAGCCCTGATAAACGCCGCTTCTGAGGGCCAAACTCCTCGCGTGAAGCATTTATTGCACCTAGGCGCAGAGATAGATCACGCTGACGAATATGGTCTGACCGCCCTTCACCATGCAGCCTTGAGTGGATTTCACGACACTGTTTGCGCCATCTTGGAAGCTGGCGCAGACGTGAACGCAGAAAGTCTGGAACGTGGCACGCCCCTACATTTGGCTGCTCTCAAAGGCCGTTCTCACGTGGTCCGACTCCTCCTTGAGGCTAGAGCCGACGTATCTCGCCAAGGTCGCATGGTTGGCACGCCTCTGCACTGTGCTTGCTACGCAGGAGAGTTAGACATTGTTGACGATCTCAGCCAGGCCGGCGCGAATGTCGTAGCTATGGACATTGTCCAGCCGTCTCTGCTGCAGTCCATACGTACCAGAGGCACTTTTGTACCCAATGATAGACCTCCCTTGTCAAGACTCGGACCAGGAAGTGACCTGCTACAGTGTTGTCCATGGCACATGGCTTTGCTCGGAGACAGTGATCGTGGTCTTCTATCCTTGGCACTCAAACCTACGAATTCAGAACAGCTACTTGGAGCTTGGATAGTTAATTTCGTACACCAGGATAGCTCTGTCATGGCCTCAATACAGCGAATAGAACGCTTCAATGTTCTGCAATACCTAGTGGAAGCGGATAGACCGAGCACGTTACACAATTTGCTGGTTGATCGCTCCCTGGCGCTAACGGTGTACAATGGCATCTCCATGGGATACCATGCAGTTGCGACGGGCGTTACACTTGAAAGATATGATTGTGTCAGAATGCTGTTGAGGTTTAGGGCACGGCTCGACATAAGTGACGATGACATAAACACGTTGTCAAAGATCGCCAACAGCCCAGAGATGGGAGCATTTCTCCTCGACCCAAGGACATCAGCACCTGTGTACCCTAAAACTCACCGTGAATACATGTCTCTCAAAGTGCTGAGGTATTATGACCTTCCGTGGGAATATGACCGTGTAAGTTCGTTGGTGGATGCACGTCGCTAAACACAAATATTCAGCAGAGTGGCGTGAGCTGATCATTCAATCTGCCTCAGGACGACCCGAACTATCTTGTCATTCTTCGCGACATGACCGAACGCGAGCTTGAAGTCCTCTTTGAGGCAACACGGAAGCTTAGATCTGGCGAGTGGAATCCGCGGCGCAGAGGTGGACCTTTCCCACCACATCGATAAGCCGTGGAGGTGCACTCGCTGGATAAAGTCGCTGTGATCCCTGGCATGTTCGTGCGAGATAGCTACGCACCGCGCATGTGAAGGCGGAGTCCGTGCGCAAACGGCGCTTAGCGAAGAGTCAAACCTTCAAACTCTGGACTGGAACAATCACATCAGCTTCCCTGCCTAACACTGAATACGTCGATTGGAGCTAGCCGCCATCACTGTCAACATGTCGCGAGCGCCAGCAATACCAGAAAAGTCTTGCCTGAAACAGCCTCGCAATCCGCCCTTTGCAAGCTCAACAGAATCGAATCGTGCCACAAAGAAGCACGTCCTTTTCGAAGTCAGCGCAGAAAGTTCCATACAACAAGAGGGACAGGGAGGGCAGAAAATCAAGAGACCCAGTCTCCTTCCGCCAATCTCGAGGCCTGGAGACGAGTCGGATCAGATCGAGCTAGCGAGAAAGCGCACAGCACTCTGTCAGAGACTGGTGCCAGTAAGAAAGAAGATGCTGAAGTGGAAGAAGTATTGCACAGAAGATGCGGATAAAATGGATATGGAGCGCTTGACAGGCATGTTCACTTCTGTCACTTCGCAGGCAGACAACGAGGAAGATGCGACACTATTGAAAGACGCGATCGTGAAGATATACAGAGACATCTTCGCACAGTACTTGACAGATTGCAAGGACTCGAATGCTGCTCAACGAAGCGAAGCCATTCCAGATCACAACGAACCCGTGCAAGAAATCGCGCAGCCGAGCACGATCGAAGCAAACACCACGAGCGAAGCCAAGGATTATTCGGCACACTCTCCAGCTACGAGCAACGAAGGTACAGATTTCGAGGCAAAAAACTCCGCCGAACACGGACAAGTCAAAGTCGTTGACAGTCCTTCATGTCGCACCAAGAACCTGAACAAGTGGATCATCGCAAACAACGCTAACGTCGAATGCCAGCTAACTCTCCGGCATCCCACGAATCTCACGGAGTGGAGGATGAAGTGCACATTGCATAGACTGCCCTGCGTCCAGAGCATGGCTCCGCCACGACTCAGTGTAGATATTCTGCCAGTCGCCTATGGAGTCTGGCCTCTTCTTCCGCTCCTTGGCCAAGCTCAGACGGCTACAGCGCCACTCGTGCCTCGACAAGACTTCTCGATCGCGAAGACGAAGAACGCTATTGACAACGATCTGCAAAACGGCGAGAATCAACGCGACACTCCCAGTCAGGAGACTCTAAATAAGGACAAGCTTCTTGTCTTGCATCGCGGCCAACCTGTTGGCATCCTTATCTCCAAGTCTCCAGCAACTACCGAAAGGCACAACATCCACGAGGCTCCACCGATCGCGCTCAGTCAGATGAACGTGGTT